CTCCCAGACTATGCTTCCATGGCTTTGAGAACAAACTGTTGCTTTGGATACAGTCTCGTTCTTATGCCAAAGTCTTTGACCTGCCATCTCTACACTCACTATCCCTTCTGTGTTCAGCAGGGCTGACTGGCTTTCTCTGCAGTTACTGCCTATGGCAGGTACTGTCTGGTCTTTAGATCTCTTTGCTTGTTTTCCTTGATGTGTGTTCCTCTAATTGTTCTCTCTGATTTAGAATTGAATTTGAATCATTCTCTGTCTATTTTCTTTCTCAGATCGTGAGCATTTGATTTACTCACATCCTGGCATCCTAATAGTCTCCAGGGATCAGAACAGCAAGTGTCTCTATTCTGTTCTCTGAAATCAGGATCCTCTGTGGCCTTTCTCTGTGTGCGCCAAGAGTCAGAATCTTACAGACTGAATCCTTGATGTGGAAAAACATGCTATAGTAAAAATTCAAAGTATTTGCTTTTCTTGTAATCCCAATTTCATAGTATAAAAGACCTCAATTTTCCTTAATCTGTTTTGCATTTTTTCTTATTATTTTGTCTGCTAAATCCAAAAATGGTTTATGCCTGTTTTATTTCAATACCATCCTTTTTTAATTTTATAAACTTTGTTATTAAAAAAAGCTTTGCAATAAATAAAACACCACAAACTGGACTTAGGCCGATCCCAAATCTATACAATTAAATTAGAATTGACAATTTAAAGGGAAGCTGTGGAGAGTCACAATAAATTTTACATTAAATTGCTTGTTTTACAGTATGCCGAGTGTTTCTTTCCCTCCTTTCTCCCTCCCTTCCTCCTTCTTACCCTTCTCCCTTTCTCTCTTCCACAAGCCCCGGTCCTTTGTGTATCAGGCTCTTCATCCTCAACCCTGCCTCTTTGTGTCCATCCATTTCAATTTTGCAACAGTGAACTACACAATTCATGAAGGCTAAATGTAACCCAAAGAGCCAGGGGAGCCTTTCTTTGGGACCTAAAGAGTCCCAGATTTTGACATGCTGTAGGCCTCCAGACAGGCAGCCTAACAACTGTAGATCTGGGTCAGGAGTATCTGGAAACAGTTAGATTCTCCTTGGAACTGCGGGGAAGAACAGGCTGATTTGGGGAGCCATCGGAGTTTTCGTTAGAGACAGCCAGTCTCTGTCGATCAGAGCACTGGCCCCGCAGTGTGTGCCTCGCTCTCTTTATTGTCATCCTGTTCCTTCATAGTCTCGGGTAGTAAGGCACCAGGAGAGATCTTGGACTAATCAGCCTAGGTCTACCTCAGCCAAAGGGCAAAGGAAGATGGAAGGGTCACTCTTCTTCCTGCTAGTGTCTGGGGAAAGGTTTCCTCTCTCACTGGATTGTAGAAAGCACTAAGTCGGGTCTTCACTTTGCACTGGTTATCTATATAATCTTAACCGGATAGTCCTGCAGGCTTCCATCCAGGCTCCAAGAAAAGGAAGAGATTTGCATCAGAAGATTTATCAAGTAGATTTTTAAAAAATTCATGAAGACATCTCTGTGTTTCCACTCTTGACTATCACATCACTTTCATTTCTTAAAAATCAACATCCAAGGAACAAAGTCTATTTTCTTTCCTTTATGTCCTTCTCATCACTTAACCCTTATTCTTTCCCGTCCCTCAAACTTTTCGATATTACTGTTGATTTTATCCCCCTTTTATTCCCTGAACTCTTATTCTTTCACCTATTCTGCTGTAGTCTTCCCTGCTGAGGTGATCAATCTGTCCTTGGAGTATCTATGGCGTCCGGTAAGGGAGTGAGAGAAGTCCCTCCAGACGCCCACCCTCCCCTTCCCTAAGCACATCACTGCAACACAACACAAGAACATAATAGAGCCTTGGTCCACCAAAAGAGAGGGGTTGGAATCTTCTATCTTTGACTGTCTGCATGACCTTTTTATTTTGTTTTCTTATTTTGTTCTATTTTATTTAAACAGAGAACGGACATTCTTTGAAGTCTCCCATGACCACTACAGATGAACCCAATGTACCAACTTCCCAACAGTCCATAGAGTATTAGAAGATGTTTACATTTTGAAGGAGGGAAGCAAACCTAAACTATTGTTTGAATTACTACAAACTAACATATGATGAGCTTAATAGAGATGTGTACATTTGTGGCCACTGTGTGGGTTTGATGTAGTTCAGTTGGGGCATATGCTTAATTATCAGGGCATCTAAAGTTTGAAATTAATATTCATGGTCTCTGCTTTCAGATTTTTATTTTTCTGGTCAGCAAATGTTAGTGGTGTGACTATTGCTATCAGAACATATTCTCTTTCCAAGTATGGTAGAAATATGGTAGAAATTTCTGTAGCTAAGTGAACTCTAGCAGGCAACTTGTGACACACAGCTTTGCAAAAACTCCACATACAAGCTGCAAGGAAGGTATTTAGCTTCTCCTTCTACATATGAAGGCTTCCATATTAGATTTCTTTATAAACACTTATACATTGGTGAATTTCAGATTCTCTTGAATAACGTGACTTTTGTATACCAAACTAGGGACAATCTAGGACTTTTAGTTTTCTGTAGTCTTGAATATGACTTAAGTTCTAACTCTCATTTTAGTTTAAAGAAAGCCAGAAGTTGTGGTTTCTGTTGATCAAAGACCTAAAATAGAATCTGTACTTCATATCAGGATAAACCTACAGACCAATGGAAGCTATACCTTATGTCAGGATAACCCTATACAGACCAATGGAAGCTATACTTCATATCAGGATAACCCTACAGACCAATGGAAGCTATGCTTCATGTTAGGATAACCCTTCACACTCAGGTCAGATTGTCCAGAGTAAAAGAGAGCACCAACCTCTATGAATCTAATTTATTTCCACCAAATCAACCAATACCTCTGGCAGACAGGGAAGAGTGCAGGAAAGGGAGACTTTCTGGGGTTTTACAAATAGGTCATGGTGAGGACAGGGCTTTTCTCCCTGAAAAACAGATACCCTGCCATGTGTGTATGATATTAATATAGTATAGGCTTTATTGCTTACATTCAAATTAAACCAAATTTATGGACAAATATCATTCAAATTTAAGATACTGAGTCACTTCAATATGATTGGTAATTTTATTTGGATGTCTACAGAAAATTAAGGCACTAGGAGGACTGTATCCTCTTTTCTTCATTTACTATTACAGACATCATTGTATTCCAATGTCTAGCTGTGAACTTATGAAGGGTTATTTTTCAATTCTTATATCCATAGAGTGAAATAAATTTTGAACAAACATACTTTTAAGAAGTTTTGTGACCACTGATACCATATAGCTCAGTAATGTATGGTAAAAAGAAAACATTTATTATTGAAACCTTCCACATGGATGCTTTTTAAGATGGCCATGACTTATTCCACAATGAATTATTCATTAAGAAGTTTTAGGGCCCATGGACTATATGAAACAGATCATTTAAAGAACACATGAGCTTAACTGCCTGCTGTGTGTTGTTTCTGTATTTCCATATTGGCAGAAAGAAGATAATGAAATGAATGGATCAGCTGTTAAGATCATTTAAATTTTTAGAACAATTCAATGATATAAGTAGTAGAAACATTAAGGGAAAAATAAAATGTTTGAAGGAAGTCACAAACGTACAGATTTCTGTCAGAAACAATGTGAGAGTAGGATCAATTTTCTCATCATATCATTTTTCAACGATATTTGTCATTCAGTATTTTGACACTTATGTAGGTCTTTGCCAGTATTATATTTAGTGTTTGGTATATTTATTCCTCTACTGTTTAATCACTAATATATTTCAGTTAAGAGTTTGCAACTGCTGTGTTTTTATATGGGATATGCTTGCCATTGTGAAGAACTTTTGAGTATACCGCTATCTCAGGCAATAACTCAGAATTTACTTTATTAGCTTAAAAAACTGTAACATTCAGAAGGTAAATTACATGTATGATCTATGAACTGAACATATTTTCTATTTAGTTATGTTAACTATTCGATGTGATGTATCTGCAGTATTCTTTTCTTTTGCATTTTAATTTTACATTTTAAGTTTACATTGTTTGTACTGAGCTTTTTGCACGCTGATTTTTGATTTGTAGCTGCTTGGCAGGATTTCGTTGTCATGTAACCCTTGTTCTTATAAAAAAAAAAAACAACCCATGCTGTACATTTGTCTTGTGTGTTTGTCTTCATTCCGTGTGTTCCATAGGATATATCTTTACATGAGGTTATGTAAAAAGAATAACAGTTTTCAAGTCTGTCAATGTCTCTTTCACCATCATTATCTTCAGCAAGTAAGTGCCATCAGCTGTGATTTTCAGTTAGCCTCCAGCAGATTCCCACTATGACCAGAGGTAGGTGTGTTCAGTCAGTTACTTACTCTATCTTTGCGTCTATCTTATCAGATGGGATAAAGCAGTTACTGCTACCATGTTTGGAAAACTTGTTTTGCTCCTTCTGTTATATTCCAACCTGCTTTTTGTTTGTTTAAATCTTTAGAGATTACATTTTTATTTTGTGGAATTTTCTATAAAATCTAATGACTTTTTCAGAAGTCATTTTTTGGGAACTTACAAAAAATTAGACTGAAGTCATTTTGTGGAATTTACTATAAAATAGAGTGATTGCTATAAAATAGAATGAGCTCTTGAGAAGAGGGTGTTTTGCAGTCACAGCACCCAATCTCCATGGGGGGCTAAGCATCTGCAGCTATGGCTCACTTACTTTTAGCCCTTGACCACAATCAAGTATCCAATTCACTTTTACCCATGAAGAGAGTTTCACGTGTTTAGGGTCATACCATTTGAAGAACACAGGTCTGAGACTTTCTTGTCTGACTTTGAAAAGCCAAGACTACCTCTCCCTTCTGATTTTTGATATTTCAAGTTTTCAGCCCCAAACCGTGCCATTTGTGGTTGACAGATGTCCCTTGTTTTTGATCTTATACACTGGCCTTTCCGCCAGTGTGATAGAATCAAGTTGTAACATACTGAGCATTAAAATGTGTCTTTTCTTTTAGCCTGAAACATTTGAGCATCTTTTTACCAAGCATGCAGAATCAGTGATATTTGGTCCTCTTCTTCTGGAGCCTGAACCCATTTCAGAAGAAATCAGTGTCGATACAGCTTGGAAAAATAAAGATGAGATGGTACCAGCAGCTATGGTCTCGCTTCTTTTGACCACTCCAGACCCTGAGAGGGGTTCTATTTGTATTAGTGACCAGTGTGACAGTGCTCCCTTCTCTGGGGCTCACAGCACTCAAGTGACCTGTGAGGACGAGTGTCAGAGACAACCCTCAGTTAAATATGCAACGCTGGTCAGCCACTCGAAAACGGTGGAAACTGATGAAGAGCAAGGGCTTACCCATGGCTCCATCAGCAATTGCATCTCCAGAGAACACTCCCCACTGAGAGAATCTTTCCCTAGCAGCTCCTGGGAGATAGAGACTCAGGCATTTTTCCTATTATCAGGTCAGCAACCCAACACGATTTCCCCACAGCTTTCATTCTCGGCATTGGATGAGATTTTGGAACTGGAAGGAAACTTCCCTGAAGAAAATCATAGCGAAAAGTCTGCCTATTATTTAGGGGTCACCTCCATCAAAAAAAGAGAGAATGATATGTTTTTGACTGACGAGTCAGGAGTATTGTGCCCATTCCCAGCCCACTGTCTGTTTCGTGACATCAGAATCCTCCAGGACAGTTGCTCACACTTCGTAGAAAATAATTTGAATTTAGCAACCTCTGCTCAGAAGACCTTTGTACCTTACATGCCGCAGTTTCAAACCTGTTCCACTCACAGTCATAAGATAATGGAGAGTAAGATGTGTGACTTAACTGTGTAATCTCATTCAAGAAGCCTCCAGGTTTGTGTGCCAGTAGAGCGTATCATGTGTAATATATTTTATTGTTGTGGATGTGGGGGACAAGTGTCAGAGTCTAGTTTGAAAATGATTGTTTTGAAATTAATTGTGTCTGTCTTCTCTCAGTAATGCAGACAATCATACAAGGAAGCCTTCATGAGTCTAGTGATGTAGATGGACTCTCATTGAATACGTTGTCAAGCTAGCCTGGGGAGGGCTCTTATTTCTAGCTAAAAATAAACTCAGGAAGTAGAATCCTTCTAAACAGCTGGCCTCTGTGGAAAGAACAAATTTCAACATTATATTGACACCTGAAAGAGAGGCTTCAAACTAAGATCTCTGAGATATAATTGTTTCAAGTGTGTGTTTGTCTTACCTTGAGTTGTCTTGTCTTGTGCTAATTCACACATGTGCATGTGAAAATTTAAACTGAATAGGTATTCTTGTGTGCTTTGGAAGTGTGTGACATGTTCATATCTTGTGCCACTCGACTGTGTTATTTGAAGTGTCACTCCCTTAAATTTGATAATAATATCAACACTAATAATCTCTAATAAGTAGAGAATGGAACCCTACTCTAAGAAGTTACACTTTTGAAGAGGGACAGTGTAGCTAATCCCTTTGCAACAAAGCCAGGACCCATGACAGAGGATGAAGACAACTGTGAGAATGACAGCATCATCACCAGCACTTGGATGACAGTGTGGTCAGCTTTGAGAGCACGATGCCAGCCTTAACGAAAGTCCACGGAAACGATTATTTTCTGATGGATTGCCAAGTGTCACTGCATCCCACTCTAGAACATCATCCCTCCCCATCTCCACTGGGATGCTATTTCTCCCCTCACTGGATACCATTAGATAAAACAACCACTGTGCTTTACAGGTTGCACACATTAACTTGCTTACTGCAATAATTGCATGAGGCACAGGCTATACATTCCCACTGTGTCATTATCCCCCTGTGAAGGATGAAGCCATTAAGTCATCCACCCAATGTCCTAGACATAATCATTGATGGAACCAGAATTCAGATTTAATCCACACCATTTTAATACTACTGGTTGAATTTTAAACCTAGCTTTTACTTTGTCATGCTTTAAAAATCAAAATACCTGATGTCATCAAAGAAGACCTAGTGAGAGGGAACAGAGTGATGGGGGAATAATTGAGACCTGTTCTTCAACTTGAAAATTGATGTATGGATGTATTATTTATGGCAAGTTTGATATGGCAAGATGATTCAAAGACAACCTAGCAAGCAAGAAGTTAGGTAAAAAAACAAAAAACAAAAAACAAAAAACTGCACATTCAGGTGTTCAATGTCAAGAAGAATTCCAAGAATATCAGTATCATCAAAGGGAGTATGTTAATGCTTATCAGTATGCTTATGTATTGCCAAGCATCACTAGCATTTCATACTAACCTGAGACTGAGCTCCTGATTTTACCATTAACCTAAGTAAATCCCACCATGCCATCTCTACTCCAATTAGAGTTTTATGGATGAGCACTTCTAAGTGATAAGACAGATCCCTGACGCTAATTAGATTTTTTCTCAGGCTTTGTGTTTGATGAAACTGTCATATGTCCTGAATTAGGAAGATGACTCAAGATCCCACCATCCACTGATGCCTGTTTTGTCATGAGAAGGCAGAAGGTAGAACACTAACTAGTTGGCGTTCTGTGCAAAGATATGGGAAATTTTTTCTCCCACTGTTTTTCAGTAACAAATTATTACATGTTGAAATGACTCATCTATCACTTTTAATATTTGCCTATTAGGTGGAGCCTATTAATTGAAAGTACAGTATAAGAGAGATGGAAAATTTAAACTTTTCCCCTGTCAGTGTGTAGCTAGAGATTAACCACTGAGCATGTCCATTGTGATAGCATGGGCTTGGGCTTTCTGGACCCAGAACACCATGTAAGAGAAACCAATGGGTATTTTAATGAGCTCAGGAGTGAATCTGGTGTGTGAGTGACAGTGAATTCACAAATCCAACAGTCATTGAAATACTACAAATGTGAGCTAGAGTCATCTAGGGACAGCATATTAATGTGAGCTCATTGGTACTGTGCTTCTAAAACAGAGAAATTGCATCAATAAGACTGACTGACATCTGCAGCTATGTTCAGAACAGGGGCTGAACTACATGGGTATCCACAGAATAAGGTCAAGTTTATTGCCAGTGACTTGGGTTCTTACTTCCACTTATGAAAGCTGATTTCACTATTGCTACATGTTAGTCACTGGGTCCTTGTGAAAATTGTTACTAAATCAAGTTTTGTAAAATTTGGGAAAAATGTATGGTGTTTGATAACTCAGAATAATCTCACTTTTCTTCCCAAGGCTTCTATAATTTTTAAGGGATGAAAGAGTTCAATGTGAATTTTGGAGTTCTGTTCTACAGTAGTTTTTGAACCTTATCTATTTGTGTGGGTTGATCCTAAGCCTCACACAAGCTGGCAAGAGCTCCAACACACTGAGAAACAACTTCCAAACTTGGCCTCTAAAATCTTGTGAGGAAGCTTGGCAGTGGTGATGCATACCTTTCATTCCAGCACTCGGGAGGCAGAGGCAAGAGGATCTCTGAGTTTGAGGCCAACCTGGTCTATAGAGTGAGTGCCAGGACAGCCAGGGCTACACAGAGAGAACCTGTCTTGAAAAACCAAAAAAAACAAACAAACAAAAAACCCCCAAACCCTGTGATGACTATGGAATTTTGAATATGTCTTTTAAAGTCCTTAAATTGAAAAAAATAAACTGTCTTTCTTGTAGCTGGAGTTTTCCTGCCTGGCCCACAGTCAGGGCAAATCTCTCTCACCCGCCAGTCCCAAGCCGCTTAAACCCGATCAAGTAAACACAGAGACTTATATTGGTTACAAACTGTATGGCCGTGACAGGCTTCTTGCTAACTGTTCTTACAGCTTAAATTAATCCATTTCTATTAATCTATACCTTGCCATGTGGCTTGTGGCTTACCGGTACTTTACATCTTCCTTGTCCTGATGGCGGCTGGCAGTCTCCTCCCTCAGCCTTCCACTTCCCAGCTCTATTCCCCTCCTTGTCCCGCCTACACTTCCTGCCTGGCCACGGGCCAATCAGTGATTTATTCATTGACCAATCAGCAACACATTTGACATACAGAACATCCCACAGCACTTTCTATATTCAAATTTTATAGAAAGAGAATCCATCGTGTGAGCCATGACTCACTTAAAACAGTGAGAGAATAAATCATGTGTCAGGCTGGCAGGATTTTTATGTTTACTAGATTAAAACCCATACTCCACAAAAGCCACATTGTGTCTCTCTGAGAGTAGGGCTCCTACTGCAGCCTTATGCTCCATTTATAGATGCTCTGTGTTTGACAGATATGGCCCTTTCTTCCTTAAAAGATTTGCACAAAGTTCCCAAGCCAGTGGGAGAACCTGCACTTGGAGTTAGAATTTCTCCCCCTAGTCTTGACAGTCTTGCAATTCTTCTCACCTTTCTCCAGTAGAATTAAGCCCTTTCTTGCAAATGTCAAACACATATTCGAATTCCTTCAGTAGTATTGACATTAGCTCCCAAGAGCTGCAGGACAATAAGCTTTAGACTGAAAGAACTGAGAGGTATGCACACAGGGAACATTGGCAGCTTGCTGATGAATCAAGAAGTACAACTCTATATCACCTTCCAGTGGATGGGAACAGACCTCTAATATCTGGTGATCTTCAGAAGAAATTTATCTTTGTTCATCTTCCAAGACTCATCTTGATAGTTGTTTTATTCTGAAGTAATTCCTGAGAAAATCCATTCTCAAACTTTAAAGCACAAAATTAAAATGGCCCACTGTAGTGTGATTAAGCTGAGGATGCTTGTGAGAAAGCCTTCATTGTAGTTACCAAGCATGTGAAGAGCCATTTGTGGGATGGAGGTAGCCCAGTCAGTAAGTTTACTTTCTTGAGCCTCTAGTTGGAAACCGTAAAGCGCTTCTGCACTCATCATCAATGTTGAGTGAGCAACTTAAAATAAAACTGTTTACAGCTGAGACACTGTGACACGTGTTTGTATGAGCAGCTTGAAATGGATTCCATGGATTAGGTTTATATCAAGTGAATTATTTTTATACAAAATCTATCAATATTTATTTTGGAAAGCTGTTTTGAAAATGTCTATTTTTCAAAATACACTGAGCATAAATGCATAAAACTAAATTTAATGTTATAAAGATCTATGTGAGTTTGTTGTAAATAAAACATTTATTCAAAAAACATGGACCTGAGAATGAACTTGGTTGGAAGATATTTAATTTTGTAGTGAGATTCCTATATTGTACATCTTCTACTCTTGAGACATGTGTCTAAGTACTGGGCAAGGAAGTCTTGCTTTTTCATGACAATTTGTATGATAATAAATGTTATAAACATAAGCATTGAAATATGTATCTCTAATTGTGTTATATATAATTATCCTGCTTCTCTTGTAAGTTCTCAAAGGCCTGAAAGTTAGCATTACAAAGTTACATAGTCAGATATTTTCATCTTTCTATTATGCAGAATCAGTGTTAGGATTCTGAGAGGTGAAAGTCAAAGGAGAATTATTGTGGACTTAAGTTATTTGGTTCTTTTACCCATAACCTTATAGTTCATGTAAATAAGTAATATAATGTCAGCCTTTAAATGTGCTTCAGAATTCCTATAAACAGTGCCATGAATCTGGTAGGAGTCTGAAAATGCCAAGATTTCAGTGCCTCCTCATGGCTACTGAGTCCCACTTAAACAGATACACCCTAGATTCTGGCAGCATGGCTACCACCTGTGATAAAAGGTGATCCACCTTGATCGTTATGAAAGATTACCTATCTCATCCTGTTAGAACTTTATTTGAGTCTTTACTCTCTGTTGTAATGATTCATGATCATGCTTTGTTACTTTGACTACTGATAATGTGGGTTTTTGCTACTTTAAACTGTGTTCTGACATTTTCTTTTTAGTTTAGAAGGGTAACTATAGGAAAACTTTCAAATAGAGAAATGTGATAAAGATTAATGGCTTCCTTTGACTCTCAGTCAGCAGTTACCAATCCCCAAACCACCCGAGTTATCACTACACCATGGCAGGTGTATCCTTTCAGGGAAAGATCAAACCTAGGGCCTTGATCATGCTGGGCAAGTACTCTATCACTGAGATCTGTTCTCAGTCCCACCATGTGTCTTAAAAGTTTTATATAATTAGGTTTACTATGTAACCATAGTAATATACCTAGTGATTGCTTAATAATTACAGTGTATACTTTTGAAAAGAAAGTACAGTGACTTAGGGGCGGGAGGGATGGCTCAGTAACTGAGAGCACAGGATGCTCTCACACAGAACTAGTCCTTGGTTCCCAGCATCCACTTCAAGTAGCTCACAGTTGCCTTAACTGTAGCTCCTGGGGATCTGACACCCTCTTCTGAACTCAGCAGACATCCATGCTCCCATGCCGATACCCTCCACATACTCAACTAAAAATAATCTTAGAAGACAAATTTCCCAAAAAAACCATAATGATTCTTAACAGCTCAAACTTAAGGATATTTAGATGATTTATAACTGCATATGAACAATTTTGAAAAGAGCATTCTCATAGACAATTTCATCTCGACACATTTTTTTGCAAAATTACTTCTCAGTACTTGGTTGTAAATACTAAAAACCAGCCCAAATTGATTTATGTAGCTTTTTGATACTTATTTTAACTTGCAGTTGATCACATTTTCATGTTTAAATCATTTCGTTATTATCTTCACACTCCTTCCTTAATTTATATTGAGTTATTAACAGTTTGTTGTAACTAATTTTTATTTGTTTTTTGTGACTGTAGTTTTTCTTTTTTTTAAACTTTCTAGAGCTTTATAGGGAAAGAAAGGAGAGAGAAAGAGAGAAAGAGAGAGAGAGAGAGAGAGAGAGAGAGAGAGAGAGAGAGAGAGAGAGAGAGACCTCGTGGAGGGGGGGAGAATACAGGAGGGGAGAGTGTGGAAAGAGGGGGTAGTTGTTTTTCTTGAATATACCATGTTGACTACAGAAGCCTTCAGAACATATCTTAATAAGTTTATAGGCATTTCAACCTGTGGGAATACCTAGGAATAAAATGCCTCAGTTATGATCCTACTGAGCCTTCCCACCTCCTGCCAAACAACTGTGGGTTGCATCAGCACCACCATCAGGATCTGGAGGAGAGTTCCAATTGCTCCACAGATCATATGCCATCAGTGTGGATATTACCAGCCTTAGCTATTGCTGCCATACTTGAGACTGTACAACTGTTACTCTACTTTTAATTTGTATTTTTCAAGTGCATAACCATCCCTTTCCTGTTATTGTTATTGTTGTTCCTGTGCAACTCTTTCTTTCTTTTCTTTCTTTCTTTCTTTCTTTCTTTCTTTCTTTCTTTCTTTCTTTCTTTCTTTCTTTCTTTCTTCTTCCTTCCTTCCTTCCTTCCTTCCTTCCTTCCTTCCTTCCTTCTTTCCTCCCTCCCTTCCTCCCTTCTCCCTCCTTCCCTCTTTCCTTCCCTCCCTCCCTCCCTTCTTTCCTTCCTTCCTTTCTTCCCTTCTTTTTGAAACAGGGTTTAAATATATAGTCCTGGCTGTCCTGGAACTCATTATGTAGACTAGGCTGGACTCCAACTCACAGACATTCACCTACCTCTGCCTCTCAAATGCTGGGATTAAAGGCCTGTATCACCACACCCTGCAGTTTCTGTGTATTTTCTAGACATCAAACTCATGGTTTTCTTTATCCTTAGTCTTTCTGGCTGGACTTCTGAAATGCTCTCTCTTCTTTCATCTTTCTTTTCTCTGGGATAGTATCCCTTCAGTGAAGGTTTTTGTATTTTTTATAGTGTGGATCAACAATGTTGAATTCTTTCAGATGGTGTCTGAGAATATCCTTATTTTAGCTTTCATTTAAAATATCTTTAAAAATGTAATGGACACCTCATAATTTTGTGCGTGTATAGGGTGCAATATGACAGCTCAATACCTATGTCTAACAAATATTGGTCAGAATATGATGACTGGCAGAGCCATCACTTCAGACATTTTAAGTTTGCATTGGGGACATCCAAAATGTTCTCTGCTAGCTATTTTGAATAAACAATCATTGCTAACCAGCTCTAGTTATCGTAGTATAGGTAAAACATTGGTTTTTCTTCCTATCCAGTTGATAAGTATCTATAAATTGATAATGTATGACTTGTGAGTCAGCTTAAAAAGAGAAAAGGCAGAGAGACAGTAGAGTCTGACCTTCAACAGACAGGACTGTGTCTATCAGAGTACACAGCGAGGAGCAGCCTCTCTTCCACAGGAAACTGAGGGGCCTGCCAGGGGAAAAAGCTGTCTGTGACCATTTTAGGAGTGGGGGAGTTTGGGAATGAGGAAAGTGTTTCTCTTCTGCAGCCTCTCCTTCCTGAAATTGTTTGCTCAGGTGGGACAGACAGACCATCTGAGGAGACAGGCTGTCCGGACAGACATTCCTTTCTGGGCCGACCAATAACTGCTGAGCAAGGTCTTCTGTAATTTCATAGGAATCTTGTTTTACAGCCAAGGCATTCTATCATTGCAAATATTGATAAGCACAGAAAGAGATGGGAAGCAGGAGCCTCACAAGAGGTGAGGAACAGAGACATCAACTCTTTCTTGATTACTTCGAGCTGAGAAGAGTCATTGTCAGAGGGTTAGTTCCAGGTCTGTTGAAGAGGGGTGCCTCTGGTCATTTAGCAGGAGAGGAATTTGAACAGGAT